AGCAAAAGCTTCTGAAAAAATACAAAAATCCAGATATATTGAAAGTCAGAGTCAGAACTGAGAACCAAGCAACCAACACGGGTTTTGCTGTGACAGAAATGGAAAGATGAGGGATGAGTTAATCAGCGAGTTGCTAATTTACCTTTAATCAATAACATCCTTAATAAATACATGTTATCAAAGGAAAAACCATAAATTGCTCTGCTGCCTCCCATTACTGTGCACAGCAATCAACATTCACACTATTAATAAAATAGATTTAAATTTTATGATCATGTCTCGCTCTAAGCTTGTATTCACCTCTGGCTTGAGTTATTTCTGTTTTCTTCAGTTGATACAGCAATGGGGACTCTCTCCAGGGCCTTTGCATGGGGCTTTTATTTCAGGCTGGAAGGGGAATTTAATTGACACTTTCCTGATATTCAGTCTTGCCTCACCCACGTGGCTCTCACATGAATTTTCAATTCAATTTCACCCTCAAATGGGAACAGCCACAAATCCAAATACCTTGCTGAAGCTGCACAAAATGAATTATGTGGATAACAATATTTCATCAGCCTTGGAACGCGGTTCTGTTTTGTCCAGAGCCGTAAAATTGTGTAAATGAATCACTAAGTCACTGTAATATTCATGACTTGTATCTCATCCTTTACAAACTGGGGGACAGAGGAGAGAATTGCCTCTCACCTTGGTGGACTTTTTCTTTATTTAAACCTACAAACAAATAATTAGAAAAAAAAAATCCTTCAGAGGATTAAGTAATTTCATGCATTTTCAGTCCTTTCTGGCCCCCTGCTCCTCGGGTTTGCTATTTTTTGGTGGGTTTAATTCAAACCCTGTAATTACCCTTGGCCACAGTGGGCTATGGGTCATCATTTTGGGTCTCTCAAAACCTTTGCATTCAGCCAACAGCTTTGGTCAGTTCTACCACAGTCCTGGCCAACCCTCTTTTTCTGTCTTTACTGTCCTTTAATTCCTCCTGCTCCATCCAGCTGGCCCCATTCACTCTTATTAGCACTAAAATTCCTCCTTGCTTCAAGCAGCTTTGAAGGATAAGCTTCAGAAACAAGCTAACCACAAAAATAAAACCCAAAATAATAATAAAAAAACCATCTGCACAATATTTTAAAACATTTTGGTCTTGTTTTTCTTTAACTGCATTTCAGGTTATTGTAACAAACTAATAAGCAGCTCCCCCAGTTCTGTCTGTCTTGCTCAATGAGTATCATGCTGCATTAAATAAGAATAGTGGAAATATGGCTTCCTTTAAATGTTTCATAACTTTGTATCATCAATAATAATTTTTTCCTGCTTTTCCTGAGCAGTCCTAAATCCAATAAGGCTTTTATGGGAGCCAGCCTGACCAGCACATGATGCCCTATCAGAGGCATTTCAGTTATCTGTGCATCCCTTTTCCAAACGATTTCCTGGACTAACTGAAATAATTTTGGGTGGAGATTTACAGAATGAAGCTTTCTAGAAATTCCTGTCAATGTTCTATTTTCTAGAAATTCCTATCAATGTTTTTGTGATACTTCATGGCAATATTTCCCCTCTAGATTTCCAGCCTGTGTTTCTCAGGACTGAGGTCTGTGATGTAACAGCAACAATGAGTCTCGACTGTATAATGCAAACTCTGGGCTTCTAATGGAAAAGAATGTGATGTTAAAATGTCAAACACCAGATATTTTCAGCTCTTGTGTTATGAACTTCCATTGGCAGCTAAGTGGATTGCAGATGTGGAAATGGAGATTATTGAGCCCCGGTTTGTTCCTGTCAGCTCACTTATCACACAACCTTAGGGCATAAATGAGTGTTCAAATATGATGTGGGGAATGTTATTCCAAATCTGGAATTCGTGGTGGGAATCCTGCTGCCACCTGCTGTCAGATGAGAAATCGAGCGTTTCTCTGTAGAATCTTCTGATTCTGATGTATTTATTAAAAAGTTCCAACTTTTAATTTCTGAATTTTTACTAATCATCAAATTTCGAGCTCTTTGCATTTCCTCCCTTAAGAAGACATTAGTTGCATAACTTCTATTTCTAATTTGTTTTCTTATCATAGCAGGTCTGTTGAACATCTGCTTGGCATTTCATTTTTAATATTTCCATAAGAAGCAGGGGTGGGGTAAATTGCAGGGTGTGCTGTTGATGGCTTGTGTTTATTGTAGGCGGGATGTGGGGGAGTGGAGGGCTCATCAGCAAGGGAATTGGAGTATATGATTTTGTGTCCCAAAGCATTTAAACACGGACTTTAAAACAGCCAGATGTTGATATAGATGGAGCATTTCCAACATGACTCAGAAATGTTTCTCAAAATGCAGTTTTGTTCTGGGTTGGAACATCAGCAGAGAGTGGAGGAGCCTTTGGGGTGGAAGGAAGAGCTGCTGTTGTAACAACAGGGTTTGTTTTCAGGAGCACAGAGTCGATGTATGAGCCAAAGGGTAACTCTGGTACCTCTCATTTCAGGCATCAAGTCAGTTGCTGAGAGCACCTGAGTTGCCCAGTTACTCAGGTAATTGAGTGCCAATATGGTTTTCAAGTTCCACTTTCAAACATGATCTGAAGGATTTTGCCTGTTTATATAAAGGTCTTGCGGAGTGAATGATGTCATTATAGATATACCTTCAAATCTCTCCAACACTTTGACCAGCCACACTGCTCTAAAAGTTTGTCCAGGAGGTGCAGGTTCCCTGAACCAGTATAATCTCTAACAGGGAGTGCTTGTGTTGTAAGGAGTTCATGCCAGAGCTCTGCTAGAGCTTCACTTTTATGTAGTTACAAACCATGTCTTTCTAATCAGAACTGATAAACGGAGGTGGTTTTACACCTAGACCTAGTCTAGCTATATCAAAATTAAGACTCCTGGATCCTGCTCCACTTCTTTTTGAAAATAGAAATTGTGATCCTCAGGTGTGTAAGTCATTTTGGAGTCGCCACCTGAAGACAGAAAATCTGCAGAAAATACAGCCCTGAGTCTCTTTACTGTCCACCACTAGTGGGACATAAAGTCGACTGGAATTGGTCAGAATTTCTTTCCCTGCCAGCCCTTCTTATGCAAAGGTAATGCTGACCAAATCCCACTTTCCTGACAAAGGAATGATAAATAGCACAAGGAAGCTCTTCTGCCTCTCGGTGGGGGGAAGATATTTAGATAAACTTTAGGCAGTTTTTGGCAGTGGTTTGCTCCTCAGCATCACTGATAAAACCCACACCCAGTTATCCAGCAGAAGGCAGGGGCTCAAAACCTGATGGCTGTAAAGCATTTCTAGAGAGATGCCAGAGCTGGTGGGAGTCTGACAGACTTGGGTCACATTTGAAAGTTGCCTTGTCGAGGTCCATTTTGAAATGATTCCATGACTCCTGCTGGTTTATGGAGCTGATGCTCCTGGCTGGCCCTGGCTGCTGCCCAGCCAAGGGCTGTGCTGGTGGGTCACTGTCCATCAGCAGTGCCCTTGGGTTGGCTCTTCCTGATGAACTCATCAGCAGCCACAGCTGCCTGCTGGGAGGGGATTTTTTCCCTCTTTGTTTGCTGGGTTATGATGCATTAACAGCATTTGGTCAAATTTCTCCTGCCTAATGTTGTTGTTAATCATTGTTTTGGGGCTGACATTGCAGCTGTCCTGCTGTGGGTGCTGTGCTCTGCTCATGGCACCAGCAGTACTGTGTTTGCTCATCGTGGCACTGAGGGGCTTTCCCTTCATTATGGGAAAGTGGGTCTTTGTGGTGAGATGCAAGTATAGCTGTGATTGCATAGAAACTTTGTCCTTGAACCCCTCTCTTCAGTGTTCACTCTGAAAGTCTCGACCTGCCCGTCGGACTGACTGGTTCTCACTCACAGGAGTAAAGCTGCAGTATCCAAGGAGTAGCAGCAGTCAAGGCTATTAATTTCATGTGTGCAATGCTTACCTTTTATTCAATACAGAAATCTCTTGCCACAGCCCTCGTTGCCTTCAGATTTAGGCTTTCCTGCCCTTTGCTGTGGTATTCCATTGACTGGAGGTTGGAGTGCAACAGGAACAGCCTGACTTCGTGTGCTGCCCAACAATAACTCATTACTGATATGTGCTGCTGGTTGGGTACCACTGCTCCAGGAGGTTGTACTAATTACAGTGCATCAACATATTTAGCCATGCATTTCCACAGTGCAAGGTATCCCAAGGGAGAAATGGCCTATCTGAAATAAAATAAGGCTTAGCAGGGTGTGGTGGCTGTGGTGGGTACGTAACCTGTGCAGATCCTGCTGGATAGGCAGGAGAACTCCAATACATATAATATTTGAGTTTAATCCAGCATTACTGCTCATAAGCAGTTACCACTGTTGAATGCTCATCTGCTCCTGTTCAGGAGCTGCACACCTGTAGTTCACTGGCACACTGAGTTTGTTTAGGCTACTTCAAGTTTACAACTTGGTGAAAGCAGTATATAATTCCTAGTGCCTTCCCCATTTTCATCAGGAACAGCAGATGCCTGCACCAAACGTCTGGCCTCTCACTCTTCTGGTTCTAAACTGAGTTCATCAGTCATGTGCACGTGCTGTGTTGAGGCTGTGATGTGTATTTTGGTATTCACATGTCTCTAGTCAGACAGTGCCTAAGACCTGTCATTTAAAACGTGGCTTACTTTTGTCTTTTAGCACTTATACGCACTATCAAGGAGCACTTATTCTGTCTTTTAAGCAAAGAAGTGGTACATAAATCGAGGAGATGAAAAGGGCATGTGATAACAAGGCAGATTCAGCATTGGCTTTATCCACGAGGCTGATGGATGGTTGGATGGATGTCCCATTCTGCTCCTAGCATCAGTCACTGTTCTAGGCAGGACATCAGCATATACCTATACTGAGGATTTTAAGCTGAAATGAACTGCAAAATGCTTCAAATCTGTATTGAATTCATCTTTTAGGCAGTACAGACGTGATCTAGAGCTCCTTGAAGCCACTGAAAATACTGTCTTTGGCTTCAGCAGATTTGGATGAGTTCCTGCAATCTGGAGGAGCTCATCTCTTTTGTAATAGTTATCTTAACAAGTAAAGCTGAAATGAAAGAATCTGCCGGTGTTATGGATGGAAGGTGCTATTTAAACAGAGAAAGGATCTTCTTTCTCTTTGCCTTTTTTGCTCTGATTTCTGATGGTCACTATAGCAACAGGAACCAAAGAGATGAAGAACTGGAAAACATGCACTTCACTATGACAAGTTCAATTTACAGCCAGCTCAGCAATGTAACAAATCTGTGTCATACTTAATGAGAAGCTGTGCAGCAGGTAAGGGAGCAGTGTAAGATTGTGATGTGCTGTGAGGTGGGGAAGCCTGAGTTTGACTACATGTTAATGAGCCTTCCCCATTAAAGAACTCAGGCTGAATGAAACATTATGATTATCCTGGACTTTTGTCAAAGTGGCTCAAATCTGTCCTGGAGAACATGAATTTGTAATTTCTTTTTTTTTTTTTTTGTAACTCAGCATTTTTGACGCTTTAGGTGTGACAGCAGTGGGGGTGTGGGGCCCTGGGCTGCAGCAGGGCTGCAGTGCAGCCTTGGCACTCACTCCATGGGAGTGGATCAGCAGCCTGGATCCCAGAGGGATCATGGCCACTCCAAAAAGCAATTCACTTGTACAAACAACTGATATGTAAAAAGGTACCTCAAAGGCATCGTTTGCTTCGAAGGCGGTTCCAGCGCTCGCCCGGGAGTGCCAGGGCAGCTGTGAACTCCCAGTGCTGGGAACAGCAGGACTGTCCAAACTGCAGGATTAAGAGCTCGGAAAATCTGGCTTAAATATTTTTTTTTTTGGCATTTTTCACACTTTGATTTATCCTGAAAATTTAAACGGAAAGCTCTTCAGTGTAGGAGCTGTGTCTCCCTGCAGCAGATAAACTCTTGTTTTGGTGCTTGGCCACAGGCTGGTCCTTGGTTACCAAGAGGTTCATGAGCACTCAGGTGCTTTCCCACTCTAGGGCTGTGTCATGTGACTGGCAGAAGGGTGGTTGTGGTGTGGGAGCTGAGGATGGACAGCAACTATGGGGAGATGTAAATGGGTATCAGAGAGTCCCTTCACCATCCTACAGGACAGGATGCACAGGGAGCCCTGAGCATCACCTGCTCTGAGGTGAGCCAGGACCTCTCCTAACCCATGGGCATGTCTTTCAGCTATCAATTGTATGAATATTTCTGTATTGGCCTAAGTAATGATATAAAAACACAGAATTGGGGGGAAGAAAAAGAAAAAAACCTGCTCATTTTGAGTGAGAACTGCTCGGATTTAGGCTTTCTCTGCAGTCACAGGCTGATGCTGTGTAATTTTTGCTTAATGCTTTGTTTCAGATGGTGTCTGTGAACCATATATTCTGGTTTGGCATCCAGAATAGATAACAGCAAAGTAATTTGGGTTCTACAAAAAGAGGCTGCAGGCCAGTGAAAGAAAAACCAGCTCTTGCAGGGGACCTGCTAAGGAATCACAGCTCATAAGCTTTTGAAAATGCTGTGAAATAACATGCTTGCCTGGTTACTGAAGCTATTTGTGTTGGAATTGCTATTAAAATATTGAGTTAAAATGAACATAAGCCATTTTTTAAAATATATATTAAGCCAGTTGTGATACAATTGCAATGATTTTTGTTTGCATTTGCTAACTGCTGAGGCTACAGCACTTGCAAGGACGGGGGATTGATTATTGTAGTATTGCAGAAATGTGCTGGGAAGGCATTGCCTCGTGCTGTGCTGGTGGGGACAGGCTGAAACACTGGATTGCACAGGATTTTTTTGGGTTGTCTTATACCACAGAGATATTGTAGGCTTTGGTGGAGAATGTTTTTCTAAAGAAAACCGGGTGTGTGGGTTGTAGGGGGGACACAGCCCTGGCCTCACACAGCTCCCTGCTCTGCATCCCTGAGCGTGGGATTCTGGTTATTGTGTCTCACCCAATAACATTTCCTTCTTTTCATTTTTTCCCTTATTTTTTTCCCCTCCTGCAAACAGCCTGATTTTCTCTTTGCTGATTAGGCCATTCTGTGCATTTTTGACTGTTCTCTCCAGCACATCTCTCCTGCCTGTCCAACCCCCTTTTCCTCTCTGTCTCATGTGCTCCCTGCTGTGATGTGAGCACTACAGATCAAGAGGACAATCAGCTGGAGAACAATATGACAGCAGGTGGGGATTATTCTCTCCCCTCTGATGTGACTCAAATATCTGTCAGTCACCAAACAAAAGCCTGTTTCAGTTTAGAGGCAAAAATAGATTGGTACATGGGTAAATCAGCAACAATAGATATTTTTTTTCCCTTCGCAAATCTGCATTTTTTTCCTTTCTAATGCTGCTTTTATGCATCTGACTTTTAGCAGGTGTGACTTCTGTTCCTGGTGAATGTACATAGATTTTGTTCAACTAGATCAAGCACTATTGTGTCAGTAATTACTGTGATGGAGCAGTTCAGTACTGGGCAAGGTGGTGCATGCTGTTAATATTATGCCTTACTAGTAGGACTGTACTTGTGCAGAGTCTTTATGAGGTAAGGAGTATAATCAGAAGATAAAAGTGGATTCTGTATGAACAGGATTAGATGAAAAAAGGTTTAAAGGGTTTAAAGGAAAGCAAGTTTGCCTTCAAACCATCGGTCTATGAGATGTGAGAACCTGGGTACACTGGATGAATCTAATCCCATGTACAGCCTGTCTCTTGCTGTCTTAACACTGTCATGACTTAACATTAACAAGCACTAAACCCTCTCTGGAGCTGAGGAAGTTCTCTCTCTGTGGGTCAGAAGATACACAGTGTGCTTTTTGGGTTTGCTGTTGGATGAGGGAGGAGGCAATAGCATCCCACCATCCTGCTGCAGTGTCCAGCACTGTTGTGTCCATGGACATCGCTCTCCTTTATCTGTGCTTTGTAACTTGGCTCCTTTCCATTTCCATGCCTTGTTTGTCCATGGAAAGGGGATTGTTTCTCAAAAATTCTGATCTTTTCCTGCCCATATATCTTGAACCTGCCCTTCCCCTTGTGTTTGGGTGAGGGATCCCTTCTCAGGGACACTCCCAGTATCAGCCTCCCTGTCCTGCTCAGTGGAGCTGCCGAGGTGCTTTTCACTCCTCCTGACCTTCCCACCTCGTCTCTACTTGCTCACGTTTTCCACTCTATCACACTCTGACTCCTTATTCTCCTTTTCATTTCTCTTCAAAACTCTTCTCTTTCCTATTTTTATCTCAGACTTTATCACATCTCCTGCCTCCCCTTTCTTCTTCATCACTGCTGCTGCCTTTCTCCCATAGAAGCTTCATACTTTGCTCAGAAATGCTCCCCTTGCCCTTTGAATTAATAGTTTGATTTCCTTCCTCCTCTCTAGTGCATGCCCTGGTGAATATTTGTTGATTTTGCCTTATCTAATGAGAGTTTGATGTAGTGAAATAATCACTGGAGCTTGGGTTGGGACCCCATGTGTCCCTTTTCCTGGATGAATGCTCTGAAGAAGGCCCAGATGATGATGATAAAAAAAAAAAATCCCACTGAACAGCACAACAAATCTTCAGATATCCTGTACAAAGCAGAATAGCTTCAGCACAGCCTGCAGGCTGGCAGCTAGGGCTGCCTTTTGGGAAACAGGAGGTATTTTGAGTCCAGCCGCAGAGAGAATGGAGCCTAAATTGCTGAGCTATTAGAGGAAGGCAGCTCTGCTGTCACACACTGCTGATCTCCCTCCCCCTTCTTCTGCTTTAAAAAAACGTCTTGGCTCTGGGATGAGGAGTTGGCTCAGCCCTGCGTGTCCTACATGGAGCAGTGAGGTCTGTGCCCTCCGCAGCCAACCTTTAAACCCCCCTCCCTGCTCAGTGCTTTCTCCTGGCCAAGCAGGCAGCTCCTGCAGGTCACGTTTTTGGTTCTCAACTGGCCCCTACACAGCCTGTGTGTTCCCTTGGGCAGGAACTCAGGGCTGCAAAGCCCCAGCTCCTTCCTGGATCCAAGCCCTGGGAGGGGTGCTGTTCTGGGTTTGGGGGAGGCTTGGTGCTCTCTGGAGCCTCGTGGCCATGGATTTTGGTGTTTCTGGCATTACAGTGATGTTAGTCAAGTTAACTGGCTGTGGGTTGTAGCTCCTGGCTCTCAACCCTGAGGAGGCAGCGCCGGGCTGGGCGTCCGGAGGCTTGTTCATTGTCCACATCATCTGCTCAGGAATGCCAACCCAGCCCCGTGTCAGGAGCTCTGTGCTCTTTGCCAGTGTCCCTCTCCCCTCTCAGGACCAAACCCTTTCAATCTGTGGGGGGCAGAGGCAAGTTTCAGTGGTGGGTTGGGTGTTCAGGCAGATGTTCATGGCTGGGGGCACACACAGAGTTTGGAAACCCACGTTTCTCTATCCACTGTCCTCTGCTTTTCTCTCTACTTATGTTTCCCCTTTGTGTTCCTCAGCCTACAATAATTAAAAAGCAATATGATCTGTCTTACTTGTCTCAGTTCAAGAGCACCAGCTTGCTCTACCCTTAAATGCTCGGAAGACTTGGGGGCAAATTTTTTCAAAGTATTGCTTTATTTTTGGGTGGGCAGTATAAAGTTTTCTAATGTCTATAAAACTTCTGATTGCTTTCTGCAGTCTGCAAACATGTGATCACACAGCCCTCCACTCTTTCACTTCTTTATGGTATATCATCTTGTGCCTCCTCAATTTTAAGGACTTTTTTTAAAGCAAGTACTGCTTCTCTTCTGTACTTTCATCTTGCCAAAAGCTCGCTGCATCTTCTTGTTTGCTGCAGGCTCAGGACTTGGCAGACTTTGTCTTTCTGAGATACCTCTCTGGGCTCAAAGTAACTGTCTTTAAAACTGGGATAGATATTGAGTTGCTTTTATTTTTATTAAGAAAATTAAAATAATAATAATCCCAGCAATAACCTAAATGGAACATTGCAGCTGAGTTACGTTAAAATTTTGAATTTTTGTTCCACTTGAGCAAGAAAGAATTGAAAATGTCAAATTCTTATGAAATGAGAACAGCTTTTGGATATATGTTTCTGAAAAAAAGTTACTAATTACTTCTGTGTTTTACTTTCCTTGATCCTCTGTTTATATCAGCAATAGGTTAGCAAAAATCTGTGACTTTTTTGGTTGTTCTTGAACCTTGTCTTCTAATTGCATTTAGTTTTAGCAAGATACTTTAAATCATATATATACATATATATATGTATATAAATATATCTTGGGATTTGGTGCTCTGTAATTACGGCTTTATAATATTCACCAACGCAAGTTGCCTTCTTACTAAAAATGCAACGAAGAATTTGGGGTGTCATG